ATTTCTGCCACCAGGGACCAATTTTGTGGAAGACTATTTTCCCATGAACAGGGGGTTGCGTCGGGGGTGGGTTTTGGGTGCACAGTTCACAATAGGCTGCATGCTCTTGTGAGAATCTAATACTGCTGCTGCTGATCTGACAGCAGACAGAGCTCAGATGGTAATATTTGCTAACCCACCCCTCACCTACTGCTGTGTGACCCAGCTCCTAAGAGGTCATGGATGAGTACCAGTCTGGGTACCAGGGGTTGGGGACCTCTGCAGAGGACAGAGGAGCGTGGGAAGTAAACTTCAGAGATCTTTCAGAGGCATTTTCAAGTATTCAGATGAATACTGAGGAGCTGTGTTTGTGAGTAAACTATCCAAGGCTAGGGGAAGAACAACTTGAAAGCATTAGAGGGGGACAGTGCCCAGTGCTCACATAGGACCTGGATTAGCACCTCATTTCAACAACCAGAGCAGAAAACTGTATAATTTATGGGGCCCTGGATTGGCCACTAAGAAGGGCCTTGCCTCAGTAGTGGGGAAAATAATGCTAGACAAAATGCCGTTCTGATCCGGCTAAACAAACCTTAATTGCAAGACCCCAAAGAATCAAACTGTTGCTAAGCAACTTCTCTGCATTCCAAAACAAAGATCAAGAACATTTATAGGAATCTAGAAATATGTGACGCCCTACAGGGCAAAATCCACACTATGTGGCATATAATAGAGAATTACCTGGAATACAACAAAACAGGAACGTATAACCCACAACGAGAAAAACCAATTAATTTACATTAACCTGGAAATGACAGGATGATAGAATTTGTACAAAAGGACACTAAAAGTTTTCCAAATGTGAAAACTACAAACCCACAGATCCACTAAGTTCAATGAATACCAAGCACAAGAAACACGAAGAAAACTACACCAAGACAAGACATCATAATCAAAGAGCTAAAAGCCACTGATGAAGAGAAAACATTAAAAAACAAAAAACAAAAAAAAACCACCCAAGAAAAAGGACACGTTATTTATAGAAAAACAAGATAAAGATGTCTCAT